TAAGTTAAAATAAAAATAAATAAATAACTGTAGCATCAAATAATCGTAACATGTTTTTCATTTAACATTTTACAATTCCGGAGGGTGGGGATGGGAAATGAAAGAGAAGTCAGTGGAAAAATGCAGTGTAGCTACAAAAAAAAAAACAGAATAAAGATCTGAAGGAAGAAAGCTTGCAGAAGATGACTCTTAATTTTTTCTAATTCCTTTATTAAAAGTGGGAGGCATCTATATTTTCTTCTGTCTACCAAAATAATATATTACTTATGTATATATTTCTTATATATTCTTATATATTTCTCCATAAGGATTCCATGGGATATACAATCAAGAGGATAGAGCAGACTCAACCGTTTATGCCCCCTGGCCACATCCGGCCCTTTGGCTGTTCCTGTCCAGCTCACGTGAGGTCGATCGGAAACTAGAAATCAAATAAAAATAAGCATGCTGAAGGGGGCAGGAGAAGCCGCCAAGTCAGGTCTGGCTCTGTGCAAAATCACTATGCACTCCTTCAGCCAACTGATGAGAGAAAGTACTTTTCTGTGTCTGTATGGTACTCAGCCTTTGTCTGGAACAATCTGAGCAGTTGAGGTGACGGAGTTTGAGGATATCAAATCAGGTTACGTTGATTTGGCCCTTTATAAGAGTTTCAGTTTCTCATGTAGCCCCTTAGGATAGTACTCTTGTTCTGTGGTAGTATTGGCCAAAAACCATGAACTCTGTAGATTTCATGGATGTTAGAGGGATGGTTTGGAAGAGATGTTTTTAATCAACATTGCTTTTTGACAGACATTATCCATCCTGATTAAGTGACTTGCACGGAAGGCTCATTAGACCTAGGGATGGCCTCCTAATACTTAAAGAATGGGCTGTACTACACTATAGATATCTTTAAAATTATTTCCAATAGTCAACCCAAAATCTTCAGAGAAGCTGCCCAGAGTACCCAAATTTCAAGAGCTGAGAAGGGCTGAAGCCAGGAAGCATTATTGGAAACTAATAGCACATATTTTCTGAAGAGTTTCATACAGTAATGAAATTGTACTTTTTCAGAACACTTCTGGTGAATATTTATGTACCACTTAGACTTAGTCCAACTCTGTTATTCTGTTCTGTTGGATCTTATTAGCCAGATATTTTGTATTTTATCTGACGACTGAGAGAACAATGGGGAAACTGAAGGTTCACTTCAGAGAAGGCCAAATTGCTGGCCCCAGGTGAGAATAAGAGTGGTGGAGCCACTGGAAACTCCGGCAGATCTGAAGGCCTGAAACACTGATCTAACTGCCTTAAGGACAGATACTGAGGAAGTTCTATGAGAGGCTGGACAATTTGAGTAAGTGTGGAAGAGCTAATTTGTTTGTCTTGATGAGAATAAAGCCTCAATTAAAGCTTTAAGCAAAACAAACAAACAAAACAGAATTGGAAGTAGGAATGAGAACGGGATGAGGATGTTTGGTTGAATGAGGGATACCAGTCTGCGTGGCGTAAATACTTGGGAAGATTTAGAGCTGATCATAACAGATCCTAAATAGCTCAATCTGTAAGGCCCTTAAAAATACTGTAATTAATTAGTAAAAGTCTGCAAGGCTTTGCCAGATAAGTCTTGTCAGATTAACCTTATCTCATACAGATATAATGTATCTTCATTTCAGTCCAGGTGGTCCTCACTTAGTGACCATTTGTTCAACAATTGTTCAAAGTTACAATGGTGCTGAACAAGTGGTACTTACTACTGACTGAAGTTATAGTCAATGTCTCTCCAGTCAGGAAATTGTGATTCAGGTGCTTGGTGGTTGCCTCATGATTACAACTTTGCAGTGTTCCACAGTCACGTGATTGCCATTTGCAACTTTTATTGACAGCTCCTGACAAGCAAAATCAGCAGGGAAGCTGGCAGGAAGTTGCAAATGAGAACCACATGAAATTGCATTTAACAACAGTATGTGATTTGTACATTGTATTTATTAACTGGATATACTGTAACTACCATGCCTAAATTATGCAGTTATGTGACACTGAGTTTGACAACCACATTACTTAGCAATGGAAATTCCCAGTTACCATCAATAACAGAGGACTATTTGTATAAAATATTTGACAAAATGCCCCATGACATTCTCTTTGGCAATTATGTGTGGGCTGAATGGTGGGACAAGAAAGTATCTGGTTGGCTCAAAAACTGGATTCAATGAGTGCTCATCAATGGCTCCTCATGAAACTGAAGAAAGTGACAGATGCCACAGGGCTCAATCCCAAATCCTTGTTTTTGGGTAAAAGAAGCTGTAAGAATGCTTATCAAATCTGCAGACAGCACATATATTTTTATAGTATGTAAATAATATTTTTATAGTATGTAAATAAAATTTAAAAGAATCTTGAGAGGTTAGAAAAATATGTTGAAACTAACAGAATGAAATTTAATGAAGTAAAAATTGTTTCACTTAGCGAAAAGATTAAATACACAGGAACAGGATAGGAGATACCTGGCTTGGTAATAGAACCTATGATAAAGATCTTAGAATAACAACTGATTAGTGTGATGAGGTCAGGAAATAGGCAAATGAATCAACATAAATACAGGTTACAAGTCATAGAAAGTAATCATCTTCAGCATTGGGTCCAGTTTTGGCTTCACTGAAACAGATTCCAAATAGGAAAATGTTACAAAAGATGAAAAACTATAACTGAATCCTTTAAAAAAACTGGATGAGCTGGATAGAATTAGTCTGAAGAGAAATAAGATTGGAGAGATGCACAATAGTATTCTTCTGAAACTATGTCCATAAGGTAAATCAAAACATGTCTCATCCTAGGAATAACGCATTTATACTACTGATCCCAAATGAATGTTAGAAAAAAAATACTAAAAACAGCAGTTCCATAGTGGAACCAAATTAAAACATAACAGACTTCCTTCTTCAGTGGATTTGTTTGGGAACCATTTGTTGCTGATGCTGAATTTGGACCTCTGCATTGAGAATGAATCAAAACTTGCCTTTTTCAACTTTATAACATTATGATTCTAAAAAGTAGCAATCACATTTAGCAGAGAATCATACAGACATAATAGGCTTGATACAAAAAGTGGTAAGGAAATGGGCAAAAGCTTCATAAGCAGATAAAACATACAGGTAGTCCTCGACTTGTGACCATACCTGATCCTGGCAATTACAGTCATAAGTTATGATGGTTGTAAAGCATCAGAACTTATGACTGACCCAATTTTACAACCTATTTTTTTGCAGCAGTCATTAAGCGAATATGGCAGTCATAAAGTGAATGATTTGGCCATTAAGCAAAGGACATGTCGTTAAGTGAACCCATTGTTTATTATGGGTCAGGTAGATTTATATATAAATAAACAATCTGATTTTCTTTTGAAACATTATTTTCAAATAAATTGGCAGAACTTAAAATAATATATTATGGTCAATTGTCAATACTATTTATACATAAACATAATTATCCCGAAACTAATAACAGCATTTAAAATTCTTGACACAAGGTCTTATCTGATCTAAATGGGATTTGTAAGGGTAAACATATCTAATAATACCAAAACTGACTGGAAAGAAAGAAACATGATTGCTTTTTTCTACTTATTAATTCAGGATATTAGTTTAAGAAAACAACAAACGGCCTATTCCTTTATCCTATAATCACAGTGGTTTATAGTATGAATAAGAAACCTTTTTCAGATGGGGTTCCTGGAGGTGCATACCATTAAATTCTCAATTACAAAAAATCAGCTTGATTCTTTTTTTACATTTTTCAAGCTTTTCAAGAAGTAAATTGCAAGTTTCCGGTCCTTTCACATCCTGCCCAAACCTAAAAAACATTTAAAAAATAGGCTGAAAAGTTTAGTTCCATCCAATCTGAGAATAGCTCTGAGCTGAAATGTCAGCACATGGACAAACATCACAAATTGCCCATTCCATGTTTTACCTGTTCAATACAACAAATGTTCCCATGCAATAATATTTACATGCAGACAAATAAAAATATTTGCATTTTCAGCTGGATAAATTGTATCAGTCTTTGAAAACCAGGAAAAGTAAAAGAAAAAAATCCAACATAACCCTACTTCTGTAGATTCCTGAGCTAGAAAACATCAAATTTATAATTTGTTTTTATACCCTTATTTATTTAAGCAATTTATTCAATCAAACTAAGAAATAAATACTTTCAATCCTTGAATAAATGGACAACAACAGCGTAAGAGAAAAGTTGTACCAGTATATTATGAAAGCAATTACCACAATTCTTAGAGATACATTCTATGTTTTCCTCTCAATTCTTGTTAGTGGCCACTCTTAATCTACTCAATAAGTATACCTTTGGAGCAGTAATGTGTAAAAGAATTATACTATAAAAGAATGAAACATATATTCACCTTCATCTATTCATTCAGGATTCTATTTAGCTATTGTTTATGGAATGATCATGAAACAGGCTCAGATAAAGCTGGAATTAATTCAAAGACAAGGAATACAGAATACACAGCCGGTTGTTTAACTATAGACATCCTTAATTATGTTTTATCACACTTTCAGAAAATTCAGAAATGTCAAGAGAATTTAAAAAATACTGGATCAAAATAGGATTAAAATTCTAACACTGAATTTTAATCACACGAGACAACAGTTCTACAGCTGGTTCAAACAGGCGGGGAATTGAAGTGGAGGTGAGCAGAACAGAGCAGAAGTATAAGGATCTAATCTAATGACAAGAACCTGGACTACTGGAATTGCTGTTGCTAAGTGATGTAGCCATGTGATGTTTTGCCTAACACTGCATAGCTGAGTGACAGAAATTTTGGTCCCAATTAGGATCATTAAGCAAGGGTTACCTGTATAGGATTGTTAGAAATTAGTACATACCTGAAATACTAATATTTTTAGGTTTCAGGAGCATTATAAAAAAGGTTTTGATGCTAATAGATTTGAAACATTGGAAAATAGCCTTATAATTATACATATATGCAGCGTACTACTTACCTGCAATAGTATGTGCATAAAGCCGGCTCCCAAATGTGAAAACATGCAGCTCATACAACTTGGCAATTCTTTCTAGGAATTCTTTACAATGAGGTCGCAATCGTGTATGGAGCATAGGTTCACCTCGACCTAACTGATAATGAAATATTCCCTAAGGGAGAGAAAGATTCATGGTAAGAACTTAAAACATTATGTCATATATATGGATAGCATATATGAATAATGAGGAAAAATCTGCATGCTACAAAAGAAAACCATGGCTAGATTCCAAAGAAATTAGGATCTGGTACAGTTAGGCTCCATAGACAAATCACAGTATGCTATCCTCACCAGATAGAAATTACTACACTACTATAGAAAACTATAGTATTCTACTACTATGCTAAGTTCAATAGTCATGCATCAAATGAATAAGAAAGTGTTTAGAAGAAAATGGCAACTTATTTGAACATTTAATGTAATTTATATAAATCTTCTTTGGGGTCAAACTTTGGTACACTCTCTGTAGCTATATATATATAACTAATATGCCATATCTATGTCTGTTTCCACATCTATCCATCCAGGTCATTTAAAAAAAATGCTCCATACAAATCAATTTCACTTTAAAATATTATTTAAAATGGTTTTATACTTATTATAAAGAATAGTAATTAATAAAGTTGCTTTACTCTGTTAGACATCTGTGGACAATGTTGCTCTGTGGTATGAATCAATGTTTGATCCAAATCTACCATCAGCACCAGTTTCCGATTTCGGCGTAGCCTTTCTTGATCTTCTCTTCCCAACTGTTCGGCTTGCTACAATAAATATATATATATTACTGTATATTAAATGCAAATGCAAACACCATAGGCTGAAAAGAAGATAAATATAATTCTATTTATTTTTCAATTGTAATGAGGAACTTAGAATTCCGAGAATAGCAGTGTTTCAGGTTCAAGCCTGTTAAAAATTACCTATTTATTCAAAATAGATTATACTAACATTTTAATTATGAAATTTTCTAGCAATCTGGTTTTATTTTTATTCACAATAAGTAGCAGATGCATGTAAAGAAGTAGAACAGAATGTTTTCTTACATAACTGTTTTGTACTGTGAGAAAGAGTATACAACTAAATTCTGCTTATTTGTTATTCCATTGATGCATAAATAACTGGTATACTATGCATAATGCTTCATTTAAATGCATTTTTTTTACAGAATATAGTTAAACATAAGTGTTTTTATTCCTATTCCTGAAAACATATGCTAGTGATGGATACTGTATTCCAAATTCAGTATATTAAGCTGAATGTGCAAAATATACATGTAACACCTCATAGATAAGTTCCACAATTATGTCCCACCAAGTACAATTGGAAATTATAGGATCAGAATATGATTAGTGTATTATTATTTTTTCAAGTGTGTGTGTGTGTGTGTGTGTGTGTAAAAAAACATGGGTAGCGGACAATACAGCAGAAGGCAATTTTCCTGTTTTGGGAATTTACATGATTTCTATGCCATCTTTCTATTTAATACTGACATTTAAAATAGGCAACTGTTCTATCATCAAAAGCTGTTTTTTTTAAATAGCTCACCAAAGGATTTCTAGCTAAGATGGACACCATATGCATTATGAAAATATATCTCTAATGAAATTTGCTGAACACTGGACTTTTCCCAAAAACAAAGGAGGAACAGTATACTTGCCTCAGAGCTAACCATCAATTCTGGGACACTATGAACCATTGATACAGTTGCTGTGGAAACAGGCATGTTTTGTTTTCCATTCTTGCTTTGTAACCTAATAATTGAGGGAAGGGGAACAAAGAATATTAAATGAATTGATAAACTGTCAAAAGATAAAGGACCAACCAACTTACTGTGCTATGAATTTTTACAACCATCCCATACATTATATGTGTCAAGTAGTCCTTAGTTTACACAATAGTTTATACTATTTAATTGCCAGGTAACATCCTCTCTCTCTCTCTCTCTCTCACACACACACACACACACACACACAAACAAATACACACACATGAAACTGTGAGTTCTAGTCCTGCCTTAGGTATGAAATCAGGTTGGGTAATTTTGGGCTAGTCATGCTCTCCCAGCGTAATTCACCTCACAGGGCTGTTGTGGGAAAAACAGGAGGAGGAAGGAATATTAGGAATGTTCACCACCTTCCATTATTTATAAAAACAATAAAGGCAAGATTTTTTTTTAAACGTAAAAAAATGATCAGACTTTGAGAACCTGACAAACAGCTTACTTCAAGCACTCAAGGTTTATTCTAAGAGTAGGCAATAGTTAAAAAAACACAAGGTCTTTTTCAAAATGGGATTTCTGGCTCTTTTTATATATCACACAACTTTTAAAATCTATTTTGGACAGTCTCATTAAAGATCAAGATTTGGACTGCATATGCCACATGCTTCAGGGAGGACTTGAGGTGCTACTGGGAGAAATAGCATCAATTTCACTGCTGCCTCCCCAGCTTCATTTCATTTGATTTGCTCTTCACTAGCCCCCAATAAGGGAGAGGAACTGCCCATACTTCTCCCTCTCTTTGAGGAGAAAGTGAGCAGGACATTACACACCCGGTTTAGTTTTAATGAAATTCTTTTGTGATCAGCTTACTTTTCAGGGAGTGCTAAAATGAAGGACAAGAACAGTCTTCTACTAATTGAATACTGAAATATGACTACATTTATATGGGTGGACATGGTAAAGAATCTCTCAGTAAAAAGTATTGTGATCAATCTGGTTCTATACTGTTATATTCATATACGATAATGTACATTCCATAGTATGTATTTTTAGTTTTTACATAATCTACTATGGTTTTATGTACAGGCAGTTCTCAAGTTACAACAATAATTGAGGCCAAAATTTCTGTTGCTGAGATATTTCTTAAGTGAACTTTGCCCCACTTTATAACCTTTCTTACCACAGTTGTTAAGTGAACCACTGCAGCTGTTCAATTAGAAACAAAGTTAAGTGAATCTGGCTTTTCCATTGACTCTGTTTGTCAGATTGCTGCAAAATGTGATCCCATGAGATTGGGACACTGCAACTGTCATAAATGAGTCAGTTGCCATGCATCCAAATTTTGGTCACATGAACCATGGGGATCCTGTAAGTCGTAAGTGTGAAAAACGGTCAGAAATCACTTTTTTCAATACTGTTGTAACTTTGTGAACTAAGTGAACTGTTGGAAGTCGAGGCCTAACTATACCAACTTTTAAATCCACATTGAATTTTCTACTACAAATTATCTTCAAATTATTAGTTCATTTAGTGACCATTCAAAGTTACAAAAGCACTGAAAAAAGTGACATGACCATTTTTCACATTTATGACAGTTGCCACATCACCATGGTCACGTGATCAAAATTCATATTTGGCAACTGACTCATATTTATGATGGTTGCAATGTCCTGGTGTCATGTGATCACCTTTTGTAACCTTCTGACAAGCAAAGTCAATGGGAAAACCAGATTCACTTAACAATTGTGTTACTAACTGAACAACTACAGTGATTCATTTAACAACCGGGACAAGAAAGGTTGTAAAATGGGGCAAAACTCGCTTAACTATTGTCTCAGTAATAGAAATTTTGGGCTCAATAGTGGTCATCAGTCAAGAACTATCTGTAACCCTCAATTTTAGTCCTATATTGTGAAGAGAAATCCAGCTGTATACAATAGTACTTACTGTGTCAAATCTTGACCACATTCTGCACATAAACCTTTCATAACAACAGGATGGCTACATGCTTCTAGCCTTAGCAGTACACCTCTGAAAAGCAATAAAGAATCTGATTTAAGAAAAAAATGGATTCTTATCAAATTTCAGTTTTCATCAAAACTAGGTTATGTAAATTATACGTAATCTCTGTAAACAAGACACTAAATACATAATGTATATTATTTATGTTTACATCTTATTTTATACAAAAAACGTTTCTTTAATTTTTCCACCAAGAAATATAAGTTTTCAAACAAGGGACCTCTATGACCGATTGTAACTGAGGAACAGCTATGAACAGCTTCTATAATAATATTCTTATTATAGTCTTTATTTTCCCCATATATAGAGTCCATTATAAATTTTGATGGGGCATATGTAGTTGCATATGTGATTACTGATTATCAATATCTGGAAGATTTTTTTTAAACATGTCTTCGAATTAGTCAGCCTATTTTAAACTTGGCTGTAGTGATTATTAAAAATCCATTGTCACAAATATATGTTGAAGAAAATATTGGTTACATTTTCACTAGCTTTTTGATTATTTTAATGATCTCTTCCCCTCCCATAGTTCAAAGTGATGTATAAGGAATCATCTGTCAACATTTCTTTACAGTATTTTCAAAGGGGATATTGCTAACTAGGTATTAAATAACATGGATCAAAGATCCACAAAACTCATCTTAGATTCTTAGGGCTAGTTTACAGATTTCCTTCAAATGTCTGGTGAATACTGATGTTCCATGAACATAGATTAAGAGATACTGGAATAAGGTATACATCAGCCTGGACTTCATTACTGATCCTGTAACAAGAAAATATTACTTGTGCACAACTATGAACAAAGTAATATAGGAGAATTCCACAGCGCTAATAAACACTGCCACAACCTTCTGTGACAATTCTTTATAAGCTAGTGTTATAAATCTGATTAAGTAAACTGCCACAATACAGTGGCACAAACCATATAGTGGGAAAACTAAATAAGTGATATATTATACAATGACATAGTCTCACCTCAGCATACATTTCAAGGGTTGTTTTCTTTTGCATAAACTGTAACCAGCATTTTTTATTGCATACAACCTCCTAAGGAATGTATTTATTTTTATGACATCTTTATAGATAGCATTTTAATGTCAAATTATGGCTGGTCTGCAAATACAACATTTAAATTACAAATATGAAAACACCCAAACATTAAATAAAAATATTTTTTAAACTACCAAAATCCTGAGAATTGTTTGTGCTACATCTTGTGAGAGAATTTAATTATTTATCAAATTTATATATCACCTCAATCTAGTGGTCACTGGTTGAATTAGAAATCTTTAATGATTTATAGAAATTTTGGGAAAAATTCCAAATGTAGAAAGGACTGCTGACATCTGCTCCAATATCATTTATATCATGGGAGAATAAAACTGAATTTCCTTCACTTCTAATGAGCTGTTTACACAATTATCCCAAGTAAAGAAAAAATATTTCAGTTTTATATTTTTTCATGATGTAGCTCTTCATATATTTATACATAAAAGACTCTTTGACAAAAAATGTCCCTGGAAGCAAAATGCCCACATTTTGAATTGTTTTAACTAGAACATATAGAAAAAACACAATCTGAAAATGATGGGAAAAACCTATTCCCATAGTTTCAGGTGAAAGGGAATTATACTTGTATTGGTTTGAAAAATGAGTACAGTGTCAGTATGATCTAAAACTTTGCTTTATTCAGAATTTGGATTGCATAGAAAGTTGTATTTCTACTGAAGCCAATATGAATTCATTTTTTATTTCATTTCATTTTTTTTCAGATTTCCTGCTGAAAAAGGATGGAAAAAGGACGGAGCTTCTAATACAGGCCCATTCTTTCCTCACTTTGAGACTCTGAAAACAAATGTCCAAATAGTCTCTTTAAACCCTTAAATGGAACTGCAAGAAAGTAAATATTCAAGAGTATGCCAATCACATTCAATAAAATTATCAGCTGTATTTTAATTTAATCTAGGTGTAACAGTCAAAGCCAATACTGTAATTCACTAAGGTGAATAAGATGAAATTAAACTTAGACAAGATTTAAGGAGAACTCATAGTTGAACAAGAGTCCTGCTGTAACTGTTCCTATTTTATAATAATCACCTATCCCTAACTCTGGTTAATACCTAACACCTTTCTCAATTAAAACAAAGGTAAAAAGACTAGTGCTTCCTGATAATTTTCATAGCTTATTAGTAAGATAGGTAGCAAGAAAATTACTATAATATATTTCATTAAAAATAGGAAGGAAACTATATACGTCCATAAAATAACAAGAGTCAAGCATTTAATATGTAATTCTGGAAGGCAAAGGTAATAGGGAAAGCTATCATTCTGCAGCAATCTCCCTGCTCTTTTAAATGTACAAAAAAGAAAAAAGAGAGAGACAACTGTTTGGAGCAACTTGGATTTCAGAAACTCAAATTATTATTATTCATTTTAGTTGCTATACTATATTGTTTGTAGGTAAGGAGCTGCAATCAATCAAATAACATTTGGCAACTCCTGGATGCAATTACCGTATTTCCCCATGTATAAGCACCCCCTTTGTATAAGCCACCCCCCCAATTTTTGGACTGTGAAGTTTTGAAAAAAATATTTTATTAGCGAAACAAGTTATGAAGAAAGAAAATTTACAAAGAAACAAAATTCGACGTCTAGATCTACAACTTCGGTCATGACGCCGAAAGCGGTGCGGGCGACGCTAGCAATCTACGCATTGGAACGAGAGTAGGAACGAAGCATTCAGGCCGATGCCTAGCGTATGCATTTCTATCGCGTACTCGCACTCGTAATCGTATCATCACGTACAATTTTTACAAAAAAGTATAGCATACTGCTGGAAAACCAGTTTATTCCTACTTTATTATTTTATGCATTTTTCACGTATAAAAAGTGTACCTGCTTTGTATATGCCACCCCCCTACTTTTTGGGCTTGAAAATTTTGGAAAAAAGGGGTGGCTTATACATGGGGAAATACGGTATATTCCATATTAAGGACATGTCTATACTCAGGAATACTTTTCATTCCACTTTTGATTATGAGTATGCAATGTAAAACATCATGATAATTTAATCCTTCCTTAGGAAAGTGCATATGTAATATGTTTATCCTTGCCTTAAAATTACTGGGATATAGTTCCTGTGGATTACTTTCTAGACTATGATAGCAGGTTTGGTCTGGGTGGTTAAGGCACCAAACTAGAAACCAGGAGAGAATGAGAATGAGTTAGGTATGAAAGCTGGCTGAGTGACTTTGGACCAATTACTACCTCTCAGCCCACAATGTCAGGCTTAAGTGACAAGCTGGTTTGTCAATTCCTGTCACAACTAAGGGATCAACAAAACCCCACACTTGAGGGATAAATACTAAGAAGAAAAATATAAACTTGCTATAAATTTTCTAGTTTCTTTCTAGGTATAATTCAAAAATACTCATTTTGGATTTTACAGCGTTTCAAACTATACACTAAGTTTTATGAACAATTCTCATGAAGAATATTATTTCTCATGAAGAAAGAATATTAACGATTAATGATATTTTAATGAAATGCACTGGAAGCATCTTTTGAGGATAATTTTTTCATTAAGGAATCCCTTCTCACTTAAAATGTGAAAATCTTTGAAACATATTCTAATCTCTAGTTAGACAGTGCAATTATTTCTACATCTTTTGATTTAATCAGATGGACATAAAACATTAGCTTCTTAAAATCTACCAGGGCATCAGAGATGATCACACTTCTGCCATGAAAAAGATTAAGGATTAAGAAAACCCGGACCACACCAGCAAGTGCAAATACACAGTTGCATGGCAACCTCCACTCTTCTGACCTATGTGTATTCAACTTATCTGCAAACGATTTGCCCGTGTCTGTCTATATAAGCTTCTTATATCATCTCCCTTAATACAGTTACAGAAATGAAATGAAACCTGACAGTCCTCAGGGATACATAACCAAAATGTAAAAACGTGGAAAATTGATCAACAGGTCTTCGATTCATCTTTCCTAATTCATTAGGCTTTGATTTCAATTAGTCACTCCTCTCATCCCCCCCTAAAAGGGGAGGGGGAAATCCGAGGACGGGAAGAAAGAAGAAGAAGTCCAATTCATCGAGCGCCCTCTCGTAAGATGCAGGCTGAGGCTTTCCTTGCGCTGCTCGCCAGCAAGATCCCGCTCCCCCCCCCCGCTTCACCCAGCGTCAGATGCTCATGTAGGCTCCGAAGCAGGTAAACAGACTTTTCTGGGTCAGTCCGCCGGCAACCTAGGCCTGCAAAAGCCTCCCCTCACGACGTCGGATTGCGACCGGGGAGGGCAGAAAAGGAGCGGGGCCTCGGCTGTCACCGGCGCCGCAGCGCTAGAGGGCGGAGAAGGGACGGCCTGCCCCTCGCGCGCTTTCCCCAACCTCATCTTTCGCCGCGCTAGAGGGACAAGGAGAGCGAGAGGGCCGGCTCTAGCCCCGCAAGCCGCCGCCATCTCTCCAGGAAGCCTCCCGCCCACCCCCGAAAGCCGAAACTTGAGGGGTTCGAGTCCCGCGGACCAGAGGCGGTGCCCTCAGGGATCGGCCCACCCGCTCAGCTCGCCGCCGTTGTCCTTTCCTTACCCCGGCGGAATGACTTGACCCAGCTGGGCGCGCAGCTCTCGTACGATTCCCGGGCGCTCGGCTTTGACCTTTCGCTCGGCCGCCCGTTGCAGGCCGGGCTCGATAGGCAACGCGCCCGGCCGCGCCGGGCTCTGGATAGGCGCGCAGACGGCCAAGACCGAGCCGATTTTCACTGCCGCTCCGGTCGCTACTTTCCATTCAAGCAGCCGCAGCGGCTGCGGGCCAGGAACGAGGATTTCTGTCACTTCAGACGCGGCGGCGACGGCCACGGCCGCGGCGGCGGCGGCAGCGTCTCCACAGACCGAGGCGGTTGCCCCGGGTTCCTCCATGGCCTCGGCCACTGGGGCTTCGTCCCAGGCCGGGCCCGTCGAAGGGCAGGTCGCTATGGCAACGGCGGCGCCTCTATCGGTTGAATTAGAAGAATCGAACGCAAAACGTTATCTTTTACCCTCCCCCACACCCAACTACCACCTTCAGAAAAAAAAAAATAACAACAAGAAGTAGTCACGAGCAGCGCCAAACGAGCGCGAGGTCAATATTCCGATGCGCAGGCGCGAGGCAGCCTTTTCTCGCGCCCGGACAACCTTAAAGGGACAGACGCTAATTTCGAGCAAGCTCACCGAACAGGCTCTTGTTTCGAGCCCAACACTGACGTAGCCGCTTGAGCCACGCCCACTTTCCTTCTTCCATGCCTTGTTGGCCTCCGCGGTGACGCAGGTGCGCGCTTACTTGTACTTGGCCGCCCCTCCGCGTGGACTGCACAACAGAGTCTCTTGGTTTTCGCCTCGCCAAGAGGAATTGTGGGATCATGAGAAGCATGCTTGCAAAGTTCTTTTTTCTTCTGCAGCTATACAAGTTCCAGCAGGCATTTCTCTGGCGGGTTTGAGCATGCGCGCCAGGCTGCGGTCAAGAAAAAGCCGCTCAATGGGTTTTGAGTGGGGTTTTTTTTGACTATCGAAGTTAGTAAACAATTCGTCTGCAGACGTCAGTCACATCCGGCCCCCTCAAACCGTGGTTTAAATCCTGCGTTTAAAAACATACAGAGGAAATAATTGAACAAATTTCATTTTACCAAAGTTCTGCAAAATGCTTCTCGGGGAAAAAAAAAAAACCCGAGATACCTAAAACATCTAGCATTTCCACACTGTTGATATGGAGGGGACCGAAATCGAAATATACCTGACCAGCTTTGCAGGGAGTGTTGGAATGACTTAATATTTTAAAACGAACGGTACAAAAATGCAACCGAGGTTACTAGGGACCATTTGGAAAATGTAATTAAAAATAATACTCCTTATTCCAGGTTTAGAACTTGGAGCCATCCATTACATCCAGAGAAACCTGGAACTTTTTGCAATAGATCTCTTGTGATTGATAGTTACAGCAACAGTAATGAAGAAATGCCCATTGTTAATTTGTGGGACTTGGCACTGTCATGTGTGATGGCCACCAATTATAACACCTCATCTTACAACTGTTTGTTTAGCAACCATTCGAAGTTACAACTGCACTGATAAAAAGGACTTATGACCTTTTTCCACACTTATGATTGTTGTGCATCTCCATGGACATGTGATTTACATTCAGATGCTTGACAACTGATTCATATTTATCCCAGGGTCATGTGCATCCCCTTTCATAACCTTCTGACTAGCAAAGTCAATGGGGAAACCAGATTCATTTAACAACTGTGTTACTAATTTAACAACTGCAGTGATTCACTGAACAAATGTGGCAAGATTTGCCCTCTAGGGGCAAAACTCAACAAATTTCTCACTTAGCAACATACATTCTGGCCTCAATTGTGGTTGTAAGTTGAGGACACAATTTTAAGAGGGAGATTGGAGGATCAAGTTACCCATGCATGTTTGTCTGAATAACAATTTACTTTCTCCAGACTGCACACTTACGTAACCCAGTAATTCCTCAATATTGTGTTTGTGAGGGATATAGAGAAAGCTATGTCTGACAAATTGTCTCTTAATACCCAAAATATATTTGATTTGATCCACCAGTGTTCTTTGCATATTTGTATTTTGTAACACAAAAGCCATTACATTTATTCAAATCAGTGGGGGGATTCAATTTTTTTTTACTACTGGTTCTGTGGGTGTGGCTTGGTGGGCGTGGCAGGGAAGGATATTGTAAAATCAGAGGTGGTATTTGCTGGTTCTCCGAACTACTCAAAATTTCCTCCACCGGTTCTCCAACTATATCATGTTTTGCTAGGATAGAATCTTAACTTAAAGTACAGCGTATTATTACTGAATGCTGTTTGTACATTGGCTAACTGGGGCAAAAAATGATTGAAATGATTTATCACTGAGTTCATTAAAAGATTAAAATGCACTCCTAAGGAATGGAATGTATAATTAAACATTTCTTCATATTAGATGACAGTGATGCAGAAAGCAACAATGGCTTATTTATTAGCCATTCTGCCAAGGTGGCACTACTAGGACTGGTGTATATGTATATACATTTTGGCAAGGGATGAGGAGGCAAAAGCCGTGGGTGTGCCAGAGTTACTCTTCACAGTCTTTGACACAAGACAATAATTGAAAATAAAATAGCTAGGTCCCTGAGGTGTTTCTTCACCATTGAGTTGTCTAGCAAGGTTAGCAAATTGTGTGGCAAGCTGTTGGGGAAAGCTGAACAAATGTTTACAAATGAATGAGAAAGTATTAAAAGAATAAGGCAGAAACTTTAAGACAGTTTTTTATAGTAAAGCTGTTGTGGGAGTTTTTCCCTCCTTATTGATGTACTGGCCATAAAAGATGTCTTTCAACATTAAAAAAAAAATTCACTTGCATATGTTGTATTTAGCCACCTAGAATGGAAAATAGAGTAATGGAACTCACACAATACATTCAAGATTAGTTGGTTTGTATAAGCATGAATGATGTAATACTGGATTTTAAAATGATAAAGGAAGCCAGTCGAAAGGGTGGATAAAATTAAAACCAGTGTCAAAAGAAAAGGAATAGTTTGGAATTTTGTTTAAAATGCCTGTAGTGACCAATGTAAAGTTAAAGGAAGAGGAAGGGGTGGAGTAGAGTGTGATAAAGGGGAAAGCTTTATAGTCTGATCTAGGAATAGGCTTTTGGGCACAGTAAAATGCATTTCTGTAAATGAGAAAAGCCAGAACAATTTTGATCAAGAAAGCTGTGTGTGGGGGGGGAAGACTTTGGGTTGCCGAGTGAGATGGGTAGTCTATAAACTTGATAAATAAATAAATAAATAACAATAAATAAATAGGTTGGTAACAAAAGCTGGCTGAGTGACTAGCCCAATCACAAGGTGGTTGTTGTGTCAAAAACAGGAGGAAGAAGTATTATATGTTTACCACTTTGAGTTATTTATAAAAATAAGATGGAGTAAAATCTGTAAATGAATCAATAAACACATCTGTTCTTAAAGGAAAACCAGACTGATGAAAACATAAAATAAGAGCTTCATTTTTCACAAAGATTAAATGGGTTAGGGAGGATGAAAGCTTACATTAAAAAGGGCGAGCTGAATTTTAACACTTGTGGTTTAACAGGAACTAGAAATGCTGCTTGCTTTCTTCTACTAGGTATCTAATTTGTTAAAAAGGACTATTCTTTATGCCTATATAAAGGCATGACTATGTAATAGGAAGAAAACCCACAACAAAATCCAAAACATCAGAGCAAATTCTTTCTCCAGATTGCTGTCATGGTTGGGCAGAATTCTACCAGATGTCTGCACAAACTGGGAGTTGGTAAACCTCCATTGGATATCAACCAGTCATAAGTTTATAATTACTTGGTTACATGCAGATAAGTGAACATAAGGGAATAACATATGCCAGCAAAATGTGGACATTAACCTCACAATTGATACAAAAGCTATGAGTGGCGCAAAGAGCCATGGAAAGATACATGCTCGGCATCACAAGACAAGATAGAAAGACCAGATGAAAATATACAATGCTTCCAAAAGAGTAAAAAAATTGAAATGGAAATGGGCTAACCGCGTAGCAAGAACTGGTGGTAGGTGGACTAAGGCAACCATAGAATGGATACACTTAATAAAAAGCATCCACAAAAGAGACCTGTAACAGGATGGAGCAATGACATCAGCAAGTATTGTGGGCCCAATTGGCAAAGGAAAACTCAAGACTCTACTGTATTGGAAATGTGCAGAGGAGGCCTTCATCCTCTAGTGGACAGACAAGCAGTGGACAGAATGATGATGATGAAGGGAATAAGGGTTAACGTTCATTTTCAGCATTTTATGTACCTAGGCTCTGAAGCTTCAACCTCTTATTATATAGGTGTTTAATTAAAACACTCTTGAGTTCTTATTATCTCAGTATCATATAAACAAAATAAGTTGGTCATTATTTTTCACCACATTAGCAGGATATTCTCTGTAATGTTACTGTTTTTAAGGGCCTTATTCATTTGTTTTACACTCTGCCTACCAATTGAGTTCTCCCTGTCCCAGCATTTTATGTATCTCAGGACATAAATTCTTATTTGCCAAACCTCATGTGATAATAAATGAGTTTTATCGGGACAAATTACAACTGGCCCTTGGGCTATGTTCATTTGTTCAGTGACTGTTCAAAGTTACGGTGAGACTGAAAAGAATGAACTTTCCTTTATGACTATCCTAGTGTCCCTGCTGTCATACGATCAAAATTTTGGCAGCATCTCACAGTCACATTTTCCTTCCTCTGCACCAACTGTTCCTGCTTCAACTCCCCCCACCTGCCTATCTCCTACCATCTCTGCCCTTTTGGCTACCCTGAAAAGAATGGCTGACACAAAGAAGCCACTCTACTTCCCCTCCTACCTCCTGCCACCCTTTTGTTGCTGCCACCAGCAGTTGCCCTTCATTGTATTTTTTTGCCTCCCCTGAGTTTGCTATTGCTAGCCAGCCCCAACCACCACAGGGTTCTGGGGCTCTGTTGACCATGTTGTGCAGGTGCTCTCACTCTTCAATGCCACCTCCCTGGTAGCTGGGATTGTGCTGTCCCAGCCAGTCTATGGGAATTGGATAGTTACTTAGGAATTATGAGCTGTCCCCTTAAGGGAATGCATCATGGTAAATGTAGTTAAAGGTATCCTGGGAAACGTAGTTCATGTCACGTGGCCACATCTGTATTCCTGATTGGCCACTAAATTGACCCTGAGGGGTTGGGGGAGTTTCTTCATTCTTGCCTGAACTCACGAACTCATGGCAGCTTCTTTCTGTCGCTACGAGATGGGTTAGGAGATAACCATCTTTTACTAAAAGGCAGATATACAAAGGATTGGTCATTAAAGAAGAACTTCATCACAAACGTGAGTTATGAGGATACCTGATGAACCAATAAATGTAGCTTGTTATGGACATCTAGTTGAGTTATCTATCTGCATCTTTACAGTTTACAAATCCACCTCTGTGCAGAAGACAGAAAAGTAAAAGATGAAGTCCTGAAACCCATCAATATAAAGGATGTTAATTTGGGTTTGTGATAAAGCAAAGTAGTATTGAAGCCAGGAGTG